CACGTGTCAAACAGATTGACCAAAACACCAGGTCAAAAGGTTGATCAACCATTGGTCATCCAACCCGCAATGTTGCCTCTGGGACTACCCTAATATATCCCACCTCAAAGTGGTTGCATTTTTTTGTTCCGCAAGGGATCTGCCAACCATTAAGACATAATGTTTGGGCCGGGTAGAACATGGACCTGGTGTTGTTTTTGGACGGACAATCTTGAATCTCATGCATTACGGGTGTAGGATTCGAAGCACTGTTGACCCCGGATGAATAAACCCCGGTGAATGAATATAGGGGGTGTCCCCGGTTTTAGGTGGGGATTTATCACTTTTGGATGGGAACAACCCCATATTGATAAATATATAAATCCGGGGTCAACATCTGTGTCGAAAGGACGCCGACTCCGATGGCGCTGCGCCATGCGCGCTGGTGGTGCAGCGGGGCGCGGACGGGTGCCAGAGACTGGCAGCGCCAGATGGCGCGTACGTGAGCAGCGCCCTGTGCGTGAGGCGGGCGGGCGGGCGGGCGGGCGGGTGGGTGGCTGGGTGGCGGGTGGCTGGGTGGGCTCCCGAAAGGTTTTCCTTGCACCTTTACTTGCTGGTGCGATAGGTACGGAATGTGGGAATGAACCCAGGCTTTGGTGCCCTTAAAGGAAACCAGAAAAGATGGTTTATAAGGGTCATTGCATTTCTCTTTCCCTGCTGAGCACCAGCAAGTTTAGACACCACCACTTGGGCCAGACCCTGGGCACTTGAGTTTTTTTTGCGGAATGAAGGAAGGTAAGCAAGTGAATGATAAGGATAGTCCAACCAAGTGAGGACTTGTGGACTTCCTTCCAAACCCATCCAAATAATATACGTAACATTGTTGTGCCTTTTGTGGCAAACTTTCTTCAAAGCCCATCCAAATTAGAATGGAATATGCTTGTGATGCGCAGAGATGCCGGGAAGATGCCGCGAAGTCAGGGTGTTAGATTTGGTTGCTGTTTCTTTGGATCTTCAGACATTCGCTGTTTGGGAATGACTTTTCCCACCCAGAGGCCCAGAAAGAGTTCTCAACTTTTTGCGCTGGGGGGGGGGGGGCAATAGCCACAGAGTTTCGTTCCCGTTTACTGGCAAACGGAAGTTCAGACGCGAGAAGCGAGAGACTTGGGGATGGCCAAAAACCCGTGGCATTTCACTGAAAACGCCCAAACTGGGCCTCTGAACGCAAGTTTCATTGGGTGGCTCGGCTTTAAGGTTGGACCTTCGAAAGAGGATTTGGGTTTGCCCTTTGGTTCTCCTTCCTGTAAACCCGCGAAAAAGCATACCACCAAAGAACACCCACTTGCCGTTCAATCCCCCTAAAAGGGGAACCTTTGCCTGCACGACCTTTTGCAACCAGGAGCTTTACCCCAACTTTTGGAACCTATGAACGGCCCAGGTCCAACAAGGGGAAGCCCCAACCCTATGTCACCTGGTGCGAAGCGGATTTTGATCATCCGGAAGCTGGTACACAACTTCACCCTTGAATCAGGTAGCCCTCCAGTTGGTGGATGGATTTGAAAGGACTGAACCCCTTGTGGTGTGTCCAGCCGTCCCCTTAGCTTTTTTTTGGGACTTTTAGCAGGGGATCAGTTTCCAAGACACGTAACCAGCGAGCAATTTGAGGCAGGCTGATTCTTAAGTCAGGGTCCCCCCAAAGCAGGAAGCTTAAAGGCTCACCAGCCAGGATCAAGCAAGAATTCTTGGAGCAGAACATGTGAAGACTTTGCGTCCAAGACAGGGATCTCTCTTCAAAGATCTCTATGTGGGTGTGTTTTTTGCTGAGGGTAGCCAGTTTGTATGGCTAAGGACACCAAAAGGAACAACCACATTTCATTTTGGGGCTCCAACCTTAAAACATACACATCCATACCGGGAGTGACATGGTGTGAATGGGGAGTGACATCCATTTTGGGTTGTCCGATTCCGAAAAACGACGCGCCACCCATTTTGCCATGGCCTTTGTGTGGAAGCCAAAGTTGATTTCGGTGTTCCTTTTTTGCTTGGAAACCACCAAACACGGGGTATTGAGTCAAAAACATACACATCTGAAGCCCAGGGTTTTAAGACCCTACCGGCATCTATTTATTAAAACAAAGAAAGTTAAGGAAAACAACAACACAACAGAAACCTATTAAACAATAAAGAAAAGAAAACAACAACACATCAGAAACCCAGGGTTTCAATCAAGCACCGGGGTTTTGTCTCCACCGAGCCCAGCAGCAGACGCGTGAGCGACGTGTCGGGTTTGGAGGTCCCAGGTCTTCGCTGCCATGGCCACAGGATCCTCGGAGCTGGTGGTTGCCTGGGACCCCCGCGGCCGCTGGACTTGTGATGCGAAACGGCGCGTTTTGTGCTTGTGTTTTTTGTTGTTGTTGTTTTTGTTTTATTTGTTTTTGTTTTGTGGTTGTTGCTCTCTTTTGTTTCTCCTTTTTTTCCCTGGGGGGAGGTGGTAGTAGTACTTCGGATCGGGGAACATGAAGAATCACCCCCTCCCCCTTTTTCTTTCCCGGTGTAGCAAGCCAATTGGGATGCGTTTTTTTTGATCATGATTCACCTCTGGCGTTTTTCGGCATCAGCCCTCCGATCTGTTTGAAAGGCGCTGGTGGCTTCAATTGTTTGGAAGGATGTTTTTATGGGTTCCTTAAAGTGGTTGCATTTTGAGGGGGCTGCAAATGTATGTTTGTGGGTGTGGTGAGCTTTGCTCAGAGTTGCCTGAAGGATCGATGTTTGTCGCTCGCTGAGGGTGGTTGATAAGCAAAAATCCCAATCTAAATGATATCCACAAAATGATCCCCATTCAAATTTAAATCCATTAATAGGTGTCCGTTTGGTTGTTTTGCTTAAAAACTAGAAGGCCCTGGTTTACCTGGTGGTTCAATCATTTACCAGGGCCATCTATTTTCCAAGAAGGACACCTATGGCTAGGGGGGTTTCTTCCAGAGAAGGCCTTAGGGCCGTATTAATCGCAGGAGGGATGGATTGAGCAGGTGGGGATGGGAACCAAAGAAAATAGAGTGAGAACCCTGAAACGTGGGAAATTTATGCGGCCCCTGCGATTCCTATGGCTGCTGCATTGGCGGCAACCCGATGTTCAACTTGCCCTTCTCGTTGACCTTGAAGGACAATTCTCAAAGAAAACGTGTGTCCTTGGTTGTGCCCTTTGAAGGAAAACCGTCCCGAAAAGGAAGCCAACCCCCAAACAAAACAGCCCGATCCCCCCAGCAAAAAACGATACGAGGAAAATGGAAGCTGGAGCATGAGGAGGAAGGTTACAAACAAAAATATCGCTTTCGAACCTAGCGTCAACTACGTTACTATATATGTTCTTCACGTCTCCTTCTACTGCCTGAGGCAAAGGCGGTGCCAGCGGACGACCCTTCTCGTGCCTGGCGCGGGTCAGCTTCCCGAGCACCCCAGTTCCAAGTGGGGTAAACTCTGCTAGGTCCCCCAGCTAGGTGCCCTTTCTCTGCCCTTTCTTGGTTGGGAGGGTTCCCCTACTAAAATACTCCGAAGAAATTGGTACCCTTATTCTATCCTCTCTACTGGAGGACCTAGCCTTAGTGTCTCAGGGCCATGGCCTGGATGGATTGCACTTGAAAGGGCTCAGGAGTGTTGTATTTGGGTTTGTCTCATTATGTTGGGACAGCCAAAATGGGTGGTGTCCCTTTGATTTCCCTTTAACATCAACCGAAAAGGGGTTCCCTTGAAGAAAAGACAGAGCCATTTGAAGTGAGTTTCCTTTCGGCGATGTTTAATAATATTTTCTGGGAGGTCTGTTGAACTTCAAGTACCAGCTGGTTTCGGAACGGATCCACATCCTAAGGCAGGAGTTGTTTGGATGTATCCTGAAAGGAACCCTGTATCAGGACACCAATGGTACCTGGGATAGGTGCACCACCCATTTTGGTCTATGTTTGTTGGGATTGGGATGTTCACTGGGGGTACGGGATTTTGACCCACGGCCAATTAGATGCGGGTTGCGGGGCAATGTAAGACCACCTTATCTCATGTTCACAGGAGAACACTACAATTGTTTTGCTCTTTTATGTTCCCTGAATCGTTTGTTTGAGGAGGAGAAGAAGCTGGGCCCATCCAGATTTCCCTCACTAAAAGGACAGAACGCCCGCCTAACATGAACAACAAGTTAGTAGCAGGCTCCAAAGTAGTACAGGGACCACCCACCCCATTTGCCCATGGCGTTCTTTGTTGTTCTACTTAAAACCATTGTGATCTTCGCGATAGCCTGCTTACTAGGTTCAAATTGTTTGTCTAAATTTGCATTGCTTGATTGAGAGCAACAATTGCCCACTCTAGCGGGACCTTCCCCATTCTTTCCAGGGATCCTTCTTCCTAGAAAACCTCAGGAAACACGGGGAAAGCAGCCGGTTGTTGCAAAGAACGACCGTTGAAAAGATGGGGAATCAACCGCTTGAACAGCCGAACTGACCTCAAATGAAGAGACCCCAGCGGAGCCAACAGGCCAATCTTGCAAATCAACCTCAAATGGATTGGAAGGGCCCTGTGCGCGCAATCCAATTACACAGAGTATCTACAGGACATCAGAGCAGGCCCAGCACCGCCTAGCCCAGCGAGTGCGCCAAAACTCATGTCCTTACTGTGTGGCTGGGCTGCGTTCCCGCCAAATGGGGAAGCTGCCAAGCCAAACAAATGGCTCGTCTTTGAGCTGGAGCCCCCCAAGATGGCGGGCTCACGGAAGCCAAGCAAAACAGGTATCCACAAACATAAACTAAACAAACCCAGGGAAAGCTTCACTGTCGTTGGCGAGTTTTTTTAGTTTTTGTTTGCTTTTCTTGGCTTCTGTTCAGTTGAGTGGGGGGCAAAAGTGAACAGTCGGCTGATTTGCAAGCCCATACCAAGGATTGCAAAGATAAAGCCTGCAACCTGTAGAAGCCCAAAGCCAAGAGGTCTTGGGCGTCAGCGGTGTCAAGGGCGCCCGCTGGAATCCGAGGCATGTCCCTCTTAGGGAGCCTCTCCGTGGACCTCGTCTCCAGCGTGTGGCGCTGAGGGAAAAAAACAACACGGGAGACGGTCCCAAAGGGATGTGTGGTCGCCTAAAAAAATCTTTGGTGCATGTTGCCAAGGGATGTTAGGACTTTAACTTTTTGCCAACTAATCTGTTTGGTTTTTTTCTCCATTGAACCACTAAAGGGTAAACTGTTGGCAGGGGAGCAGAAAGCAACCGAGAATTCCCTTGTTGATGGCTTTAAACATCACCTTTTTGGACCTTTGAAAGGGTTTCCCTGTGGTGTGGGGTGGTTCCGATCGTTTTTGAGGCTCGGTACCCCTGTTTTGTGGCGCTTCAAGGGCAAACCAAAACACAAGACCACACATTTTGAAGGGTCCCACCAAAAAAGAAACACAAAACCCTTTGGGGGTTGCAGTCATGCGCCCCTCAGAAAGGAACCACTGCCAGAAGGTCCTCTTGGAGAACAAGTCGTTGCTTGATTAAAACCTGTGAAAAAGGTGTCACCAAGAATTCGGATTCATATTCGAGCCCGCATGTTTGAACTTTCTTTACCACGGGTTTTTCGGTAGACCATTTCGGGTATGGATATAAATTGCACCACCAAACCAGCTGGGGTGGTAGTCCTTGGTTCCATTTGCCAGGGTTCCGTTTCGGGTACCTATGCTTGATCCAGAACCATATGTGCGGATTCGACTCTGTGAACTTGCTTTACCCAACGTTTTCGGCTGACCGAGTCTTGCTGGTTCCATCCGGTCCCTTAGGGTTTTAGTTGGTTTAGTTGGTTTAGTTGGTTTAATGTTCACCCCGGATTAATAAACCCCTTTTAGTGGGGTGTCCCCTTTTAGTGGGGTTTCAGACCACTTTTGGAGGGAGCACCCCCCTAGTGGGACGGGTTCTACTTAGATCCTGGGTCAACATTAGTGGTTGGGCGTCCAGTGAACCCACAAGTTAGAATCTTCTGGCAGGGGATCAGAAAACGGACCGTGTGAAGCCAATCGCGCTGAAGGGAACAGAACCGAATGGTTTCCGGGTTTCCTTTTGGTGTCCCATTCAACCAACAAAGGGCTACCTTGAACAAATTCAACACCCCCAAAAGGACCCTCACAATAGCCTTGACACGGGCCATTGATCCAAAACAATCTGTGTGAGCTCTCTCTTGTTCTGTTTGACCGTGGTCGACTGTTGTAATTGGGAACCGCGCAAAATGCCTGGTGTCCTTTTAAAGTGTCCCTTTCAACCAGCCAAGAAAGGGCATCCCCTGAGCAAAAATTCACCACAGCCACTTCGCCCGGCCTTTTTTAGATCAGGTGATCTACGACCACAGCACCGGGTCCATCCTCACCTTGGGCTTCAGCGGGTCGCAGACCATCGTGGTGGACCAGTACTCTGCGACCCTGAAGCCGCAGCTTAGGCCATCGCGGGGAGGGGGAAACTGGGTTGATCTGTTTGGGACATGGGGGAGGGGTTGGGGGAGGGGTTCGGGGAGGGGTTGGGTGAGGGGTTGGGGGAGGGGTTGGGGGAGGGGTTGGGGGAGGGGTTGGGGGAGGGGTTGGGGGAGGGGTTGGGGGAGGGGTTGGGGGAGGGGTGGGGCCCGTGGCTTGGCGGAATTCTGGGGGCAACAAGTTGGTTTAAACATGTTTAAACCATGGGTGGCCCCACCCTAGTGGAAGTCTTACGTACAAAAAGGGATGGCTTGTCTTTTTGTTTTGGGACCCCTCAAACTGGTTGGTGTCCTTCGAACAACTGCTTTCAACTGGCCAAAATTGACGTGATGTTTCATCCTCAGTGTTTGGCCTATTTCAAGTTCAACAACCCTCAAGGGGTATGTACTCTCAATGACTGGCCTTGACACTTTCTATAAGAACCCTTATTGTAGACAGATGGAAAAGCGGGAATGCAGAGCCATTGGCGCCACTGAAGCTCTTATCGGTGGCTACTAGTGAGCTCATGAACCAGCTTGCTGGTGCTCAGCAAGGAATTAGAAATGGAATGACCCCTATAAACCATCCAGCTGGTGGTTTCCTTTAACGGGACCCCCGGTTTCATTCCCTTATTCCCTACTCAGCACCAGCAAGCCAGTGGTTTATTCGCGTCGACTCGGTGTCAGATACTCCATCCCCATCTCGGTGGCATGGCTCCTGCACGCCCCGAAGATGTCGGATGGGTATCTCCTCTTCCTCGGCTCTGAGACTTGGAATCGCAAAGAGTCCGAGTGTTTGGATTTGTTTTGTTTTTTGTTGTTCTAATCGCAGATCCGGAGGTCGTTTGGGTGTGTCATTTTCAAGGTTGGACCCCGCAAAATGGTGGCTTCCCTTTGAATCCTTAGGCTTTGCCTTTCAAGACAGCAAAATAGGGGGTACCCTCAAAAAAGCGATACCCAAATCGGTACTCGCCCAAGTTGTGCAGTGCAAATGATCCCTGAATGCCGAGTTGTTCTTTTGACCCGTGGGCAAATGGACATCGGGACCTCAGAAGAAAGAGAGAGAGAGAGAGAGAGAGAGAGAGAGAGAGAGAGAGAGAGAACAGTGTGGATCCGTTTGGCTTCCCTTTGAGAACACAACACAATAGGGGGACCCCGGTATCCGACAAAACAAGAGTGTGTATATTTTCATATTGTTGGGGTTGTTGGGCTTCCCCAGGAGGCTCCCTTCGTGGGAAGCATCTTTGCAGTGGATCTGCAGCGACAGCAGATCTACCAGCAGGACGTGAATAAGGGCCCATGTTATTTAACGCCTCCGGCTCAGGCCGCCGACACTACAGGCCTGCTTTCTCCTTTGGAATTGTCCCCTTGCCCCCCTTCCCCGCTAAGATCTTTTCCCCCCTCGTCCCCCCCGAGATCCCTTTTGCCCCCTAAGGCCTTTTTTCCAGAGATCTTCCCCCTTTTCCTCCCCAACATCTTTTTCCCCCCTTTCCCTGTTGAGATCCTTTCCCCCCTTTCCCGCCTAAGGCCTTTTCCCCCCGATCTTGCCCCTTTCCCTAGTGAGATCCCTTCCCCATTCCCCCCCTTAGATGGTTTGTTTGCCCCCCTTTGCCCCCCTTTGCCCCCCTTTGCCCCCCTTTGCCCCCTAAGATCATCCCCCCCAGGGGGAATCGAACACCCAAATGTTTTTCAACAACTGTGTCCCGTGCCCCCAGAAGAAACGTCTTGAAATCACCGCATGGTACGTGGCCACTCCCCCCCCCTTGGCCCTGGGGAGGGGTAAGGGAGGGGTACCAGGTAAAGAGGTAAGGAGCATTTCTTATGTCCAACACGCCGTTTGTTGGCGGATTTTCCAGCTGCTGGGGTCTCTTTTGATGTTGTTTCTGAAAAGCTGAGCACCACAGCACTTGCCTTTTTAGAGTCCTGGGCTGGATCTGATCAAGGCTAGTGACATGAAGTTTGTTAGAACCCCCTCAAACTTCCTTGATCTGGAAAATTCATTTGGGAGGGACATGGGCTAGGGACTTGCAACTCGAAATGCCCTAAGTCATCCTGGTCGGAAAGAGGGGGCCGATGGTATTTTTGCCCCGCTCACATGGAGACTCCAAATATTTGGTCCTTGGTATTATAGGGCTAACTGTCCCCTCTCGCAGAGATTTTCTGTCCAGATGTGAAGATGTGCGAGGGTTTGTTTCCCCCAAGGTTACATGTAGAGTTTTAAGCAAGCCCTCAGGGTACCCATAATTTTCGTACGCAAGGCTTGACGGGCAACTCAAGTGACACCAGTTTTTGGGGTCTCCTCTCTTTCCGAGACAGCCCGTGGGTTTTCCAATGGCCTAGTTGCGAATGAGTTTGTTCCTCATTGCATTCACCAGGATGCACACTGGATGCACAGTGATGTGTTGTTTTTTTGCTCGTCATGCCTCGCTTCCCCGGCTTCGCTACTTTGAACCTTTTGAAGGGGACGAGCTTTCAACTACCTCAGAACAATTTAGAGGATGCTTAACTTTGGCTCATGTCAACATGTTCAACCCAGTCTGGAGTGCTTCAGGTGATGATGAAAAAATCCGCAGCTCATTTGGGTGTCCTTTGTGTTGGAATTGGTGTTCCTGCTTGGGGGTGTCTTGCTTAGGGCAACCAAAGTTGGAGACCCATGTCGTTTTGGGGGACCCCCCCCGTTTGGAGCCAGGTAGAACATTTAGACCCAAGAACCGTTTTTGGACGGAGTGCAAAAAGGGACTGCCAAGATTGAGCTTCTGAAGGGGTCTCTATACTTTACGGCTAGTTGCCGACGAACCCTTGGGCTATTTACTGATGGAGCTTTGGACTATTTTGTTTTTCAACAGGCAACATCTTTTCCATTGGACCCACACACAGGTAAACACTTTTTGCAGCAAGACAGGAATCCGCACGCCTTGGGAGTGCGCTCTGTTTGTACATGTGCCGATGTTTGGCAGAGGGGTCGTAAAAGGCCACCAAGTAATACCGAGGATATAATTCTGAGGACCTCTCTGTCCAACGAAGCCACAGATGTGGCGCCTTGGGACAGTGTGCAGCGTTTTGCAAGGGGTCATCAGGTCTGAGACCCTGATGACCTGATTTGTGTGGAGCCCATTCAAGGGACAAACCGACCCAGACCCCCAAGAATGTTTTGGGGATCTCTCCCGCATTTTCACTTTAACAAAAATCCCAGTTTTTCAGGCCTTCCAATAGAGACACCATATGGAAATCACCCTTAGGCCTTTAGGAGGGAGACTTCTAAATTCTATCCTGGTTTTGCACAGGGAAGAACCAAGCGGCATGGCATTCCAATGAGACGAGGCCATTTCCCTTAAGCATCTTGGGCCCTTGGAGGTCCCGCCCCCTTGGAGGGTCCACTGATGCTCAGCGGCCGAATTCGCAGGACCCGCCCACGAATTCACAGAGTCAGAGGCCCCGCAGGCGTGGAGCGGGAATCTCGACTTGGTGCAGACATATGGGGTGAGTCCCCTTTTGAATGGGTGGTTTGAGGGTTGTGCTTAGAATTCAACATCCGGAAAACCCGCAGGTGTTGGTCCCTTCAATTTGCCGCAAGCCAGTTGGAGGTAATGTTTGACCCACCCCCGCTTCTGAAGGGGTCCCTATACTTTGTGTTGATTTGGTCGCTGATCTCTGGATTCTTGACCCACAACATGTTATAGCTTTTGCCGGGGGGGGGGGGGGGGTATTGCAGCAACTTGGTAACCAAGTGGTGGCGGTGGCTGGTTGTGGCAATGGTATGTTTTTTGGACTTCAATTTGGACTGGATCCCGAATCGTAGCCGTTTCGGACTTCTGCTAAGTTCTCAAATGCGGCAAAGGGGACACGATCCTGCTTCTGAGATCGAGCCAGGTAAGGGAAGGGAGAACGCATGTTAGCCAATTTTGATGCGGTCCAAATATAGACCTCGCCATAGAGAGGGGACCGGCACCGCCATTGTTCCCCGGAAGCAACCAGACATTGCGGAAGTAAACGACCGCTTGAAATGGAAAAGGGTTGGCGGAGAATAAGAAGCACCCCAAACTTGTTTCCATTTCATCCTTTTGGTAGCTTGGGGGTCGACCACACAGGGTCCGACTGCTTTGGAAGGATCCATCGTTGAGGGTTGCTGTTTGAAAATGTGTTTTGCTGTGTTCGGCTGATTATTCTTTTCACGTTTAATGTGTTTGTTTCTACAACACGCCAATTCCTGTTGTCAAACGGGCCAGACAGAGAAAGTCTAAATGAGCGTCATCCAACAAATAAATTCAAACGCAAAGATATTTCCGATAGAATCACGGCTGCAAGCCAGCCTCAAGACATGATCCCTTCATTGCCCTGGATTTGGAAAACCAAATGGCCGATCATCACTCCCAGCTTCCGCGGGGCCTTCCGGTTCCCGGCGCCCTCAAGAAGAAAAGGGTTCCGTGTTACCCTCCCCAATTCACACACGGGGTTTCTGACCTTGGGAAAAACGGGTCCCTTTAAAAGGGAATACGTGGGCCAGGACCGATTCCCCGAAGGTCAGGCAGCTGTTATTTGGTGGCCACCCTTTTTACTATGGAACCTGTCCCTTCAAAAGGAAAATGGACTCCAGGGCCTTTGAAAGGTCAGGTTCCAGGACCCCCGGACCCCCCCCACGAACGTCAGGTTCCGGCGGTTTGGGAGGGTAACCTGGGGAGTAGCCTCGCATGGCCAGATGGGTCCTGCCCTTCAGCAAGTTCGTGGAGCGCTTGCCCGGGAATCCCCTGACTTCCCATGAAGGCGCGCCGAAGCGCGAAGCGCGACGCGCGCAGCGTTTGGCCGTGTTGTTTTTTGGCGTGGCTGAAAAAAGGGAGTGATGTGTTGTTGTTGTTTTTTTTGTGTGTGGCGTGGCTGAATGGGGGTGTTTTGTTTGGGGATTCACGTGCACGAACCGCTTTGAATACAGTGCACGAAATCCTGCACCACCTAAGAAACCCTGGAATGATGATTCCCCTGTAAATCCAACGGTACAGCTCCCTAACTCAGCCCGCCCAAGGCTGCATCGAGGACCCTAAACCTCTCAGAACCCAAAACCACTAGCCAAAAAACCTTTGAATCCCAGCCCGAAGCCACAAGCCTGCCCCTTCTTGCCCCACCTTACCCAACTCCAACCACTCTGAATCTCTGAATCTGCCCAAAACCCCATCCCAAACCTCGCCGGAAACCCTCCGAACCCCATGCTGAATCGATCCGAAGCCCTGAGAGCACCCGAAGCTGACCCAGTTCCAGTGAAGGCTCTGCCTTAGGAATCGCCATCTCGAAAGGCCGGCCATGTCTAGCGCGATGCTGTGAACACAACTACTCAGCAACACGAGCTGCATGGATGAGCTCGTTCAACGGGGCTCGCAAAAGAACGAGGCCGAGGCCCATGAAGGACGCCAGAAGCCCAAGTTGGCGAAGCTGGCCTAAGCTAACCCACCCTCAGCGCTTCTCAAGCCAGCCTCCAGGCCCACCCCAAACTCACCTAAAGCTAGCCTAAATACTAGCCACTGTCCTCCCGGCGCCCTACGACCTAGCTTAAACCTTCCTGGCCACACTGAGCCCTTCACACCCAACCCACCCTCAACCTGCCCTGCCAACCACAGGCCACGCTAAACGTGCCTAAACATACCCTGAACCTACCCTCCCCAAACGTACGGGACCTGATGCTTGGCCTGAGTTGCGCTCATGAGCCCGGGCCGAAGGCACTTTAAAACCATATTGAGCCTTGATGATACAAGAACATGTGAATGATTTCTTGGTGGGTTCCTTAGGTGTTTAGGTTTTGTAGCTGGTTCAGCGAACGTTTCCATTTAACCCACCCAAAGCTGAACTTTTAGCAGAGGATCGGACAACGGACAGCCCAGATTTGTCCGCCCTTACATGGTTGTTTCCCAAAATTCGCCCCCCCCGGCGGGTAGGCGGTTTGCTTTTGATTTCCCTTACACCCCCTCAGACTAACAGCCGGAAGCTCCCCCAATTGGCCTCCGATGGAACCAAGTCTTCGAACTCATGGGAATTGCCACCCCCGAGGGCCGTTTATCCAAAACGGTCCATAGAAGCGGACAGATCCCAGCGCAGGCCTCAGCCCGGGCTGCTCCCTGGACGCAGGCAGAGGGGGGGGGCATATGTTTTTTGTTTCTCTTGGGTGAGTGAGGGAACGCATGGGCACACAAGAAACCCTACAAACGACTTGGGCCCAATGCGGCCCCCTTGTGAAGTGAAACCCCAAACGGAGGCTGTTTGGCCAGTGAACACATCATGTGCTCACCTCACCGGACCTTTGGAATTGCTGTTTCTTGCGCGGGGTTTGAGCCTCCATTTGCTGAAAGATGGAAGTATTTTTGCGTTTCCCCTGGCTTTGAATCGATTTCGCTACTGGACCTTTTTTCTCCAGGAACCTTAAGCCAATGGAAGTGGGCTTTGAAGAGACTCGATTTCGCGACTTTTTCTTCTCCAGGGGGCTTGAGAGAAACGGACATGAGGGGACCTTTCCCACAGATACGTGGCTCAGATTCTGAGCTCACGGATCTGGATCGAAAGCGATGGAACTGAGGAAAATCCCCCGATCGAAAGCTCAGTTGCAAGCGAATCGACCTGATCTGACCTGAACTGGTTCTTCCTTTTTGGTCTAGTTTTAGTGGCCCCAAAAGGTGATCACCTTTTATTTCTGGGTCCTTTGGGCAAGTGAGTTCGGGAGTCGCCCAACAATTAGCCTGCGAAGTATCGACATGCAATGGGCACATACACCGCGATGGATCTATGGCCCAACTGGCATTGCAGAGGTTTTGCGAGGGTTTTTAGGGATGCGTGGGCAACTGATGCGGACCCCTAGCCATACAGACCAACTACAGTGTGGCTATGTAAAGGGTCATCGTAAATGGAAGTCAGCATCACCTCCCATTCAATGCTTACATGTTCAGGACCATCTCCTCATGCAATGCTCCTGGTAACTCCGCTGGTCATTTACTTTTTGTTGATGTTGCTCTTGACTGTTTTTGTTGGCAAAGCTGCAAAGAGCCTTCACTTTGGTTGAAATCCAAGGGATCAGGTCTCGCCTTAAGGGCTTCAGACGCGAAACAGCCTATTCCATTCCAACTCTGGGGTTCATTAAGTCATAGTGTGGATGGACAACATCCATTTCGCACCACCTCAAAGACCCTAGAATGATGATTCGCTTGTACAGGCTAACAAACAATAGTCGTCCATGGTTTCTTAAGTGGTGCAGGATTTACCCCATCTAGAGTATATGTGTGGCTCACAATCTAAGAGCTAGGGGACCGCAGGTTTGAATCTACTGGTCTACTAGGTTCGATTTCGGGCACTTTTTTTTGAGCCGCACCCATATGGCTATGGGTCAAAACCCAAATCGTACCCCGAGTGAACATCCCAATCCCCACTGAAGTAGACTAAAATGGATGGTGCACCTCCCCAAAATGGTACCATTGGTGTTGACCCCCGGCCATATTTGTCTCCAGAACTTTTTTTATGTGCTAATGTCAAGAATAATGTGAACAGTATGTATGGTGCGTATGGTGAGCCCACAGATGTTGCGCCAATGTTTGCGCAAATTACCGCGACCTAAAAAGGGTTTGTGACCTCAAAACCCTAAACCTTTCACCCCTTCTTTGGGGTTGGCGCAGTTTAATAAGTTTCCCGGGTGATGTAACTAGTATGAGGCATATTTGTCTGACTATGTATATATATATATATAGTTTACGTGTATATGTATATTTACATGTGCGAAGGCACAGTTTCCATTTGCTTTGTGTAGGAGTCCTTGTTTCGATTAGCCTAATTATGTCACCCTCAGTGGCAAAGGGCCTTTTCCATGTCAACGATCTTCGTGCTCTCAGGTGTTCAACACCTCACTAGGGCCCAATCGAGCGAACAGTTTGTTTCAATCGCCGACTCGTTTACGACCTTTGTGTCCAAACGGAGTTGCCCATTGAGTTATTGCCATGAAGAAAACACTGGGCACAAACCAAGGCTAGACTCATGCCGACATGCCCAGCAAAAAACCAGTGGCCAGTGCATAGGAGGTCATGAAACGCTCCTTCCTGGTTTCCTTTCAATCTTCCTGTCTTTCTTCCCTAGGTCCCCCAGCAATGCCCTTTTACCCTTGTTGGGGGGACGTCTCCCTAAAGAAAGACTCCAGGAAAAGAATCGGGTACCCTTATTCTAACCTCTTAAATCTGGACGACCTAGTTCCTGTTCCTTTTTTGTTTGCATGCCAATTCCCATCAAGCTCCAGGCCTTGCTGGTGGTGCCTAGCGACATCGCTCACTCCTGCTGAAACTTTGCCAGAGGGCAAGAGAGGGGACTGATCTCAAAGGATTGCAAAAATCAGGCTTTTAGCAAAGAGGATCTCCCCATGTGTACAGAGAATACTCTCAGGTCCGAAAAGAGCAATCCCTTGATGGGGAGTGGTTTCCTGCTAATTGCTTTGTGTCTCCCAAACTGGATTGACATGAACTAACAAGCTGACCCATTTTGGAAACACACTTTGTTTAACCACATGATAGATATAACGGTGTCATGAAACAGAATATCAATGCCCTCTGGTGAGTTCGGACAGGCAGCACCAGACGTGCATCGCAGAGGGCCAAGAAAAGTGATGACCCACTCGACGCAAAAGCATCAAAAGAAGGAGACGGGGACGCATGTGCAGAGCTGACTGATACAGCGAGATGCGATGTTTGAGAGCCACCGACAGAGGGGGGGGGCGGGACCACTCGCATCTGCCACCCTTCAAAGAGTACAAAGTTGGTTCACCCCCCTCTGAATGCTGCTGGAGTCGTGTTTCCTCGCTTTCTGACCATCCACGAGGGGGGTTCCTCGGAAACACCCAGAGATCAACAAATCAAAGGCGACTGTCCCAGACGAGAAATTGAGTTGCCCCACGGAAGACGCGTTTCGCTGAAGATGGTGGGCTCCTTAAAATATGTGTTCATTTTGCCTTTCCATTCTTACAAAAAAAACAAAAACACACACACACACAACTTTTCAACTTGTTGGGTAACATGGGCTATATGTCTGTAAAATATTAACTTCCCCAAGGCTTGGAGTTTTAAGGGGCAAGCATTTGAAACATGTGGCTTTTTCAACGCCAAAATCAAGTTGGAAGCCACCATTTACAGGGCAATGTTCAGGTGTATAATGTAAGGATCCCTGTGGTTTCTTGAACCCCACTGAAGGCCAATGCCGATTTGGGTTCTTGACAAAAGGGCTTGACCTCTTCAATAGGCTTGAATTACCCAGGACACGCTCGCAGCCCTGTCAGGACTAGGATATGTTTGTCTTTCATGTGACGTGGGACATAAGGAAGGAAGTCACAGAGCTTTTGGGTAGATCAATTTGGCCAGCAAAGATGCCAAGAACTCCTCGGCTCTGGATTTTGGAAGGAAAATCAAGATTCATTGGGCCTGACGAGTCCCATCCCAGTTGCTTGACGGTTTCCTGCCAGTCCCTTTTCCCCCAAGGTGACAGGGAGTCTTAAAACCAGCCTTCCGTTTCTCGGAAGGGAGGGGTGTCAGTTAATGACGGCCAGAAAGCGCTTGCAAGAAGTCGGCAAAAACAGGGAGGACAAAACAAGCAACTGTCGAATCAGCCAAACCTTATGCTCAGAGTGGTGTCAGCTTTGTTGCCAAACATTGGCAGCCGTTGCGTTTCCGTGTTTCTGGGACAGAATCCCGTTGTTTGGCGATTTGAAAGGACATGTCCCATTCTGAGGGTTGCCATATCTGAGCTCTTCAAAGGTAAACCGGAATCCTTGGCCAGTCAGATTGGAGCTTTAACTTTCAACCCAACAAGTTTGAACAGCCCAGAGCAGCCATACGCATTGCTTCTAAAGGTGCCAGTTGACCCAGAATTCAGCTCCTATGGCTTGCAAGCGAAGGTTTAGCAAGCACGGCACGGGCTTCTTGACACCCAAACTGTCCCTTCCTGGGGGGAGGGCGGGGGAGGGGTAGTGCCCTTTTATTTTATGTTTTTTTTGTTGTTTCCCGCGGGGAGGGTTCCTGTACTAAAATAGACTACAGAAAAAATCGGGTACCAACTTATTCTAAGCTCTCTACTGCAGGACCTAGGGAACCCGCTGCTTAGCGGAGAAAAGGGGCTCCGCATGATGTAGGTCCTTGGTCCAATGTCGGCAGGACTATTGGATGAACTGGTAGGAATCAATGGATAAACAGCTACCAGGTAGTGGGTGTGTCGTTTTCATTTTTTAGGGGACACCCCAGAATGGACTTCGGTTTGCCTTTGCTTGGCCCTGTGCAACTTATCAAGAAAGGGGTACCCTCAAAATCAAGCAACGCCTTTTTTGTTTTAGGGACACCCAAAAATCAAAAAAAATGTGTTTTGTTTTCTTTTCTTGTCCCTTCTTTTTAAGCTATCCGAAAAGGATACCAGGATCCCTTGATTGTGTCGAGCTTAGCGAAATCCTCGATCGAATCGGGCGATCGGATGCGTCAGGGATTCCTCTTCAAATGCAACGCTCCGTCGGACAACCCCAACCCAGAGGCGCGCTTGCGCGCGCGCGGGCGGAGGATCTGAGGATCGGAGGGAGGTCCAGCACTCCAACCAACCAATCAACCAACCAACCACTGCTTTTTGGTTACTGTACTTGGAACTTTGGACATAGGAACAAACATCTTGGGGGAGGGGGGGGGTTGTCTGGTTCTTTGATGTCAACCTGAAGACTAAGGGAGTGCCACCTCAAAACAAGGCTTTTCTGGTTGAATGCAACCATGTCTGTACCCTTGCTTTCCTTTGCCTGAACAAGTAATGGCCTCCCCAGTACGATTTGAACAGCCAGATGCACGGGGACAGCTAGAAAGACGGGCGACCGGAAGAACCTCTCCGTGGCCAGAAGCGGAAGGTTTCTCTGATTCCGAGTGCGACTCCTGATGAACTAGGTCCCCCAGTGGTGCCCTTGTACATCCTGTTTTGGTTGGGAGGGTTCCCCTACTAAGAAAGACTGCAGAAAAAGTTGGTACCCTAGTGAATGAACCCCTCAGTGCGTAATTTAATCCGGGGGGGAAGAAAGCAATCCGCCGTGAAGAGGGACCCAGGAGCAATCAGGGGTCAGCATTCAGCAGCTCTAGCAGATCTTTTGTAGGGTGGAGGCGTTCTTTGATTCCTCCCTCATGTCTTTGTCTCAACCCTCCCACCCGTCCCACCCGTCAACGCGCGACTGAGACTTGAGCCCGTCGGCAAGTTATTTGGGGTCCCCTGAAACAGGTGGGTTGAACAATATCCCTCACTGCCCCAAAGGCGTAAGCCATTTGCACAGCTCTTGACTGCTGGCTGGATCTTCGGACAAAAAGCTTTTTTTGGGGATTCAAGTTGGGGTTTTCCGACTAAACCCACCCAAAAGTTGAACTGTTGGCAGAAGGGTCGACAGCAACCAAGATCTCGTTGATGCAGCAGGTATTAAAGGACCCTGTGCTCAGAGAAATGCGCTCTCGAGGGTCAATGGGACCAGACACTGGACAGCGTGAAGAAATATTATAATTCACCCATATCTTTTTTAAAATTTTGGGAAAACCTGTTTAGTGGAAAACAAACAGTTTGCCATCCACTCTGGAAGTGACAGGTAGAATGGAGTTCCTCTTGCCTTAAGGTGGAACGCAACCTGGACCTAGGGCCTGATAGCAACTTTTAAGCCAGCTCAGCTCAGAAGCCGTGCAAAACGCGCCAACTTTGGCTCAAGTGTACCGCTGAAGCGGCCAAACTACAAGCTGGACTTCCTTTCGTGGGTTTCCACCATTGGGCCCTTGGACAGGAATGTGCACTCCAGCGGACAGGTAGAAGCTCCAAAGGCATACTGTGCATGGACGAAATCCGTTTCGCACCACGTGGAAACCATGATGAACTATTGTTTGTTGGTATTTACAGGGGGGTCATCATTCCAAGGTTTGTTAGGTGGTGCGAAATGGATTTTGTCCATCCACAGTAGGGAACCCCATCAAAACCTGCTGCCCCTTCCCACTCGTTGGGCACATGGAAGCTTTTTTGGGGACTCCCTGGCTTCACTTTGTCAGGCAGACCGTGAAGCCAGCCCCGGGGAGATGACGGACCAAGAAGAGGCCGAAGCGGTGGAGAAGGAGGACAGAAATCATCTGAAGCCAGGTCTCTTTTCCAGAGTTTCATCCATTTAGGGCTGGTTCCAACAATTGAGTACCCTGGGTTGGTTCAAACGAAAACCACCCGTGGGTCGCCCTGTTTTAAGACACCGAGAAATCCTGTTTGTAACCCTCAACAGTGGCCAGGAAAGGTCAATGGAAACTGGTAAGTTGCAGCAGGGACGTGCCTCAAAAGTCTTGGGAGCTCCGCAAATCCTCGGAATTTTTTGGTGCAGAACCGGCCAATCGAAATCCCTGGAGTCCTGGAGGTTGCCCGAAAGTCAACTTCCAGAAACGTCCGCTGTGGAAATCCACAGAGCCATGGCATGCGGGGTGTTCTCACACTGATTGGTGGTATCGAGTTCCGTTGCCGGGAATGGCAACCCACTTCCGTGATACCAATATTCCATTGGTTTCTTTGTTTTTTCCCCGGTGGTCTTAGAGGGAATCGAACTCACTGGAAATAAGTCCTCATTTTTTCAAGGCGAAAAAGCCAATGGCACCACTGGAAGGCCTTCCAAACGACAGCGGTTTACTTCCCTGGTAGTGAGAAACAGCCCCGAAATTTCCACAGCCCTTCTCAAGAAAGGCAACCAACTCGAGAAGTTGGCTGATGGGTGAGTGTGAGCAGTCTGTTCAAAAACTTAGGAAACGTGGGTCGTAGCAGACTTCTGCTCTCACATTCGCCTGAATCCACGGCGAGGCGTCCTCGCCGCCGCACTGTGCTTTTTCCCTTCCATGCCCATGGATCTGCGGAACCAATCGATGCGTTTGCTTTCTTTGTCCATTCTAACAACGTCCAACGAGTGCTCTAAGAACTTCCTCGTCCTTCATCCTTCGCTTCAGTTGGAAAAGGGTTCCCCGTTCTTTAGTAGGAAACCCCAACAGGAATTCCGGAAAATGGCGTTGGAACTCGACCGCGAACCACGTTTGATAGAGGTATAAGCCCATCATTGGGTCCAAGAGCCCACTGAACACCAAGCTTTTCCCCCTGGCAGCCTTGCCAGCCCTTGAGCCCACTTCCAGTCAGCCAGTTTTTTGTTCCCTGCGCTTTTTGGGTGGATGGTTTTCCAGCAAGCCCGCTGATCGGGTTCTAAGCTCGATCTGTGAAGCGTGCCAACGATCCCCTTCAAAGTGACGTGGAGCCCAGAAACGGGTTGGCGCGGCCCAAAAGGAGATTCCCCCCAACCAATTCCTCTGGTGCATTTTGCCAAGGGATGATAGGACTTGAACTTTTTGCCAACTAATGGGTTTTTCATTCAACCACTAAAAGTTAAACTTTTTGCAGTAGAGCAGAAAGCAACCGAGATTCGGTGTTATTTGGAGTGTACGTGGCACTCAGTGGTTGGTGTTCAGGAGGAATCCGTTGAGGAGGAGAACATGGGTGTGCTGCTGCAGGCTGCCCAGGAGCTTTGTGACTGAGGGCGGATTGGACGTTTTCCCCATCCCCAGAACCCCAAGCACCCAGGCTTTTCCTCCAAGAGGCTGGGTTTGCAGCAAAAAACCGGGGTCATTATTTCGACGGTTTCTGGGGGTTATCGAAGTCAGGAAATGGGAATTGGTTGTTTCCCTTTAACTCACCACTGAACGGGGGTGACTTTGATCATGGCAAAATAATGAGGCCCGGGAAACAGAGGCAAGAAGCTGCAGGCGTTGGGGACAGTAGAAGGGCGCAGGCGTGGCTTTTTTTTTGGACCCCACCTTAAGAACACCCCTGAAGATTTAAGTGAATGGTTCGAAGGGTTCTCAACACATTTGGGGGCGGTCCCCCATTTTGACCAGTTCGGCGGCAATTTGAGGACATCAGTTTAATGGGCCTGGACACCAGTCCAACAAGGAGGTGTGGAACGTTCCACTGGGCAACAACAGCATTCTAAGATGGAACAGATAACCAGCTAGGCGTGTCTTAAAATAGGCAACCCCAAAAGTTGTAGTTTCCCCTTTGTTTCCCTTCCAAACCAACCAGAAAAGGGTACCCTCAAAAGAATCACCCTCAAAACAGGATGCCCTCAACAAAAAGGGCGCACCCAGATTTGTTTGCCTTGAGGTTTTGTATGCTTCCCCTCTGTCCTACTGTGGATGGACGAAATCCATTTCGCACCGTTCAGAAACCCTGGAATAATATGCTGCCCCTGTAACTACCAACCAACTACAGTTGTGCATATGGTTTCTCCTGGAAATGCAAACAACGAATGGTCCCCTCAAAAGCAAACAAGAGACCCTGGAATGATTTGCTTTCTCTGGAAATACCAACCAACTAAAGTTGTGCATATGGTTTCTCCTGGAAATGCAAACAAACAATGGTCCCCTCAAGACACAAACAACAACTCCTGGAATGATTCGCTTCTGGAAATACAGAAGCAAACACTATAATTTCAACCGTGGCTTCTTAGGTGGGTGCGATTTCTATTTCGGGATCCCACATGGCTGGAAGCACTGGTTGCCGACGATTCAAGGCCTTTGGTTGGGCCCGCGCTGGCCAGCCTGGCATTGCTCTCAGCTGAAGGCTCTCAGGTCACCTTTTTTTTCTCAAGCACGTCGGGTGTATTTGATTGCTCTGAACGCAGCCCTTTTTCTCAAAAACCGGAGTTTCTGGAGTCCAGAAACTCCTGTTTTTGGAAGGGAAAGGACAAGGAAAGCCACAGGTTTGGGGGGTCCAACCTAAAAATAGGCACACCCAGATGGACCACTTCGAATTACCATCAGGAAATGGGAGCTATTCACCAAATTCTCATGGGCGCGCACATTTTGTTTGGCTGAAGCGGAATTGGAATTGGGCCATGTCACCCTGGTGTTTAAAGGGGAGCTTCCAGTGTTTGCGCTTTGTTTGGGTTTTGCCTTAAACACAACACCCACAGCAACAAACAGTCCCCCCGCCGCTCCCCAAAGAAAGATCAATGGGTTTGGATGGGTGGCTCCAGGTGGCGGGCAACCCTCAAAGTGGCTGCTTTCCCCTTGGTTTTCTGTTGCTTTTCAAGTTGACATGGCCCCGGGTGCGGACCGCGTAGCAGCGGATTCGTCCGACCATCTCCAATTCTGGGCGTCTACGTCACGCAGCACACACCCCACAAAGGAACAATTGCTGGGTATCTCTTAAGGGCAATTGAACCCATCTCGCCGAAGGTTTTGAACATGAACGTTTTTCGGACCGTCACTCCATGCGTGTGTCTTTTTTTTGGGTTCGTTGTTTGTTCAGAGAACAAGGGAGCCGGCTTTCGAGGGTTCCTTCATTTTGGCGGATGTGGATCCTGATATTGAGAAGCACCCATGTGCCGGTGGGCAAGACACCCTTTTGGGGTCAGTATGGAAGGTCATTCACTTGACCAAGGAACATAATATGTATAAAGAGCTGTGACCATGGCATGCAAGTTTTTGGAATATCGATGGGGCCAGAAGCGAATCGCGACATCCATGTGCAGGGGAAACTTTGGTTGAGGGACAGCTTCTGTTGCTGAACAATCTCCCAGGAGATGCGGGGCAAGGCTTGAGGCACATGTTGGCCGCAGGCTGATGAAGGTGGAATCAGCTAGCTAGTCCTTCCCTTACGAGGCACAGAAGGCTCAACAACGTGGCGACGCCTTGGTAGGACCGCTAAGGTGCCGAGCATGTGGAGTTTTGGCGCGTATTTCTGCGATACCAAGGAAATCCCCTCTAGTTACAATAGCAAAGTAGCCTAGGGATGGCTCACTCGGTATCTAGGTCCCCCAGTAGTGCCCTTTACCCCTTTTTTAGTTGGGAGGGCTCCCCTAGAAAAATAGACAACGGAAAAAACATCGGGTACCCTTATTCTAACCTCTCTACTGGAGGACCTAGGTATCATAGGAAGGAATGTGCCATTTCAAGGGCTCTCTGGAGCTCTGGACAGGGCACCAGTTTCTGCCTGCCGGGCCGCAGCTTGTATCGCCGGATTTTGGCTCAAGTAGCGTGGCCTGAAAGCGATTCGCAGTTTTGGGTTTGGCATTCTTGATTTCTGCGGCTTGGCAAGCTGGTCATTTCGATGTTGCAGGAAGATCATCTATGACGAAATTGGGCTTTGAAATGTCAGGTACAACGCAGTCCACTTCAACAAGTCGTCCTTTTTTTTTCCCCCGACAAACTTTGGCAATGAGTCACCGACCGCCCCATCAGCTCGCAAGGAGAGCTGCTTGCCTACCATTCAACGCAGGCCTTGCATTTGTACAGCATTGAACATTGCACATACTTTCAGCTCTCACAGCTATGTGACAATTGCTATAGATTCGATCGTTGTCAACTTCAGGATTTCAACAGAATCAGCTGCATTCTGCACTATTCGAACATCCAGCAACCAGATCAATCCGAATTCAAGATATCAATGTGTACAACGCTTGTACATGTCTATTTCTTGGTCAATTGTGCCTCCTTTTTTCTGCGGTACTTACTGGTTTCGAAAGTCTTTGTACATGTTTCCTGCCTCCTTCCCTCCCCGTTTCTTCTTGTTTTCCCCTCTCCACGCGCCATGCCCCGCTCGGACTCGCGGCGCCGGAGCCCGCGGCGCTCCGAGAGCCCCAGGAATCGGCGCTCGGACTCCAGGCGCCGAGGGCTTCGTTCGAAGCGCGCGCTGATGGGCGGAGGAGGGGAAGCAACCATTGCCAAGTTTTGGTTGATGAGGCCAAGTTTTGGTTGATTGGGGCGGCTTGGGGAGTCCTTAAGGACAATTCCGAGGCTCCAGGCATCGGGTTCCAGAAAGGTGTTTCATTCTTTTTAGTTGGTTTGGTGCTTGTTTTTGTATTGAACCCACTGAAGGTGAGACTTTTGGCAGGAAATCTGAGGACAGCCCAACAACTGCCTTTTGGAGCACTTGGAGTTTTGCACGTGGGAAAAAGCAGTGGTTGGGGGGGGGGGGGGTTGCAGGAAGCGAGTTCAGCAGAAGCAGTGAAGAAGACCCACATAGCCCCTTTCTCTTAAAACCCAAGGTCGCCGGGTTGGCAGAAGTGATTGGAACATGCTAGGCGGTGGCCCTTACCGGAAGCCCCCCCAAACAGTTTGGCCTTGTTTTTGGGGGTGGTTTAACTATGTATTTTGCACAAAGGCGTCGTTTTTGATGAACGGTTGTATCCCCATGTTTGCTTTGGGCAGTTTGAGGTACGTGGTGGAAACGTTTGAAACCAATTCGCCCCAATCTTTGCGTCTCGTGGATTTGATGACACCCTCACAAGGAGCTAAATAAAATGTGCTCTTAAAAACAGGCTTCCTAAGGATGCCTTTAGACAGCTTGTGCCAAAAAAATAAAAGTAAAACAATCTTCACTCTAGATCGTTTCTTTTTGTTTACATTGTTTGCAAACGAGGCCATTGTCAAGTAGCCGTTTTGCAAAAACATGTAACATCAACAACTGACTTGTCGAAAACCAAGCTTTCAAACTGTTGGAGATGTGTTGTTGTTTTTGTTGCTTCGTTGCTGCAACCCTCTCGGGGGGGTATGGGTCAAGAATAGGTACCCAAAATAGAAACAACTGCGGTCCATATCCTGGTAGTTTGCTATTTTGACCCATACCCAGATCGGATTAACTCACTTCCTGAGTTCCTGGACTTTGATCACTTTTCGGGGTTGGACCATTTTAGCGGTGAAGAACAGTTCTAGGACTTTTTTGGCCCATCCACTTGTTTGCAAGTAAGCCTCGGTTTCCCCGCGAGGCGCCGCCGCTCGCCGCCGCGACGCTCGCCGCCGCGACGCTCGCCGCCGCGACGCTCGCCGCCGCGACGCAGATCTACGTCGAGGCGACTGACGTCGCCGTGGTGACTTTTTGGATGGGATGCGAGGACTTGTACATTGCCTAGGTCCCCCAGCTAGGTGCCCTTTCTCACCCCTTTTTTAGTTGGGAGGGTTCCCCTACTAAAATAAACTACAAAAAAAGTTGGTACCCTTATTCTAACCTCTCTACTGAGTGTTACTGGAGGACCTAGTCTGAACTCAACGGAGCTGGACTTTTTGCTCTCCTTGTTCCCTTTCAGCTAGCACCATGAGTTATGATGGACGAAGTTTTGCACCAACTAAGAAACAATGGTGGGTGTTTCCAGGGGAATCATCATTCCATGGTTTCTTGTGTGGTGTTTCGCTGTGGTCGAGGCGACTGAAGTCGCCGTTTTGACTGTTTGGATGGGATGCGAGGACGTGTCATTGCCAGACGGAGCTAAACTTTTTGACTTTTGTTGCCCTGTTGGTTTTCCTTCATGTTTCCTTTCAGCGTACAACATCATAACTTGGTGCTCTAAGCCTAGTGATTCTTTTGGCAGCTATCCTTTAAGCAACCCATAAGGACGCCTGGCACATGGGGTGGTTTTTCCTTTGTTCCCCAACAGCTGAAAGCTTTGGGGTCTTAGCCGGGGTGCCATGAGGTAAGGTTCCACGAGGGTTCCACCAGGGTTCCACCAGGGTCCCACCAAATTCTGCGGGGGCTGCGGGGTGGTGCGGGGTGCGAGCACTAAAAAGAGCAGCGCATGCTGTTGGGGATATCACCCGAGCCTTTTGTTTGCTTTGGGGATGAACCATCCAACTGCTGTTGTTGTTCTCTTTAAGGGATTTCCTATACTGGGAGCCAGCAACAGACCCTACCCCTTAAAGGGTACCCCCAAAAATTAACAAGGCGGAACCGGGTGGCCTGTTTGCTTTCTCCGAAGCGAATCGGAATTCGACTTACTATGGCAGGACGAACTCCTGCACCACCTAGGAAGCCATGGGAAGCCTGCTTGTTGGTATGTCCAGGGGAATCATCATTTTAGCTTCTTAGGTGGTGCAGGATTTCGTCCTCTCACAGTATGAGCAATGGAGATTGCTACCGGATTTATGGTAGTGGCTTGCGTCACTTTTGGGGGTTTGGACCATGTTGGTGGTAAGCAAAAAGGTTTGGTCACTTGTTTTTGCCCATCCACCTAGGTTGTATTCGTAAGGTTGCATTTTGGTTTTGTTTCCGATAGAGTCCCACTGTTAGGGGGGTTGATCAATATTTTTGTCGGCCCCCAAATGACCATGGTTAACTTTCCCATTTAGTGGGGAACGGCAAAAAAGACCTTTTTTTGTGGTTTACCTTCATCGGTCAACACCCATACATCTTGGAGGCAGGCTTCCTGTCTGTTGGTTTTAACCAGCGCGTCGGGGCCGAAGCCGAACGGGAGCTTCCTACTGTACAACGTCTGCACCGGTTCGGATGGGCGACCCCCCCAGGAGAATCTTGGGATAAACCAATTCCTCCCCTAGTTCCTGGACTTCGATTTTTGGGGGAAGACCGTTTGAGTGGGTAAGCTCTCATTTTTGGACATTTTGTTGGCCACTCCACTCAGGAAGTGAGACCACCAACTGGTGCAGGGCTTTGCCGTCCATTGAGTACTTCGAGGGTTTAGGGATTGGGGTTGTGCGGGCTCGTGAGAAAGAAACACGACTCGTCCCACAGTAGTGTTTTTAAACAGAGTCTCGACCCAAGCAAGTCATGCACCGCACTCATTCATGCGGATGCGGCCGCGGGGCATCGAATTCGGAGGCGTGCCAGCAGATCGAGGCACGGTCTGGGAGAGAGCACAGGCGGATTGCACACACACATACACACACACATGTTCCCTACACCTCAGCTACAATCGAAGCCTGAGGAATTGCTTTATGGCTCTTTGGGAACGGATCTTTGGACTTTTTTTGGGGGGGAAAACAGGTCAGATTTTCCTTTGGACCCACAACGAGCTAAGAAGGGGTCTACGGTAACCAAGATTGGAGGATAGTACGGCACAGTCAGAATAATATGTCACCCCGCACAAGGCGTGGATCCCAATTCTCGGTTGTTGTTGGGAAACATGTTAAATGTTTGCTTATTGTGGTTTAGTGGGAAATCCCCACTTGGCTGCTAAAATTTGAGAATTTTTGCTCCCCTTTCAACGTCAGCCAAGAATTCAGGCTGCCACATGTATTGAACAAATGCAAACTGAAATTTAGACAGGTTTCCATGAGGCTTTGCGACAGATCATCTGATTGGAGGCTCGGAGATTCCTTTCAGGGGTTCCCTTTGGATGAATTGCCCTCCTGTCCACATGCCATGAACCCACCAGAGAAATGGTCCCTTGAACGCAACATCGCCTCCCAAGACCCTGAAACGTCAGGTGCCATGCTCGGAGGGAGGTGCTGAATCATGTTTTTTTCATCTCAGACTTCCTCTTTTGCGGGTGTTGCGCATCTTTGCTTTGGGCTTGCTTCTAGTTGGCTGATGCATCCTGGGGTTGCCAATTCCAGGCACTGGGCTGGCGGCATTGAAAGGGGCTTATCTCCAGACACAAACATATTTGGCAACCGGAGGAATTTGGAGAAACACCCACATGTCCTGGCCTGCGCTAGCGGGGGGTTGTAGTCAGGGCTTCAGGTTCAGCTGTTCTGTCCAGCCCTTTTGGGCAGATAGACTTGTTTTACTTGTTTTCGCTGCAAGCCAAAGAGGATTGATACTGCGGATGGACGAACTCCATTTTGCACCCCCTAAGAAAACGGGGAATCGAATCATTCCGACTGGGTGATCTCCAAAAAGGTGCCCAAGAAAAACAATTGCTCGTTTTGTTCATTACTTTTAGTAGTCTATTTTAACAACTAAGAGCATAGAGCTGAGCTGAATTGTGCGGTGATTCACCACACCCATGGGAGGGTCGGGGGTCGGGGCAAAAAACAAACACGAGGTCTGTGAAGCGCTCGCGGTCGGTGAAGCGCTCGCCTGTGAAGGTGGCCGGGATCCCAGTGGACAACACAACTACGTGGTTCTAACGATGCGTTGTTTTTTTTCTTCTTCTGAGCGTGCCCTGTTTAAGAGGCTATTATGTTGCAGACTTCCAAGAAAAAAGCCCGCCCGATTGTTTCAAAAACATGGGGATACATGCGTATGTTGGGATTGTTCGTTAGAAGGGAAGCCGCTGTCAGTTCAGAGAATCCCGTACGTGTTGGTTCAGTCCCTTGTTGGGCCCCATAGCATGGATCGCTCTTTTGTCCCATTTTTCCCTGCGAGATAGGAACAATGAGATCGCCAGGCTGGGGTCGATTTGTTCATTCTTTTCAACCATGCATTGGTCTTTGCGAAATTTCAGACGTTTTCCCTGGGTGTTTGTTGGTTTCCTGAAAAGAAGCTTCACATTGAAGGGTAGTCCATTCGTCATTTACCCTCCCTCCCACTAACATGGCAACTGACACGGGGTCCCTTCAAAGGAAATTAATCTTCCCATTACCTCCCCACAGGGGCCATGTTAGTTGGAGGAAGGGTATCTTCCTTTCTCAAACTCATGCTTCGAACCAGATGCACGGCGTTGCTCTCGGCTGTAGTTGCGCTTGGCCGCTCCTGCTGGTCCCTCACTTGGTGCTGAACAACTTGATTGCTATTGGGTAACGGAGCTTTAGACTTTGACTTTTTGGTTGAAATCAAGTTGGGTTTTCCACTAAAGCCCCTAAAAGTTACCCTTTTTGCAGGGGGGTCAACAGCAACCAAGACAAGGGCTTCTTTGTTTCAGGTGTGTGGAGTAGATTGAAGGAATCGCTCAGATGGTTCTCTCTTTGGATGCGTTGATGTTCAAATTCAAGTCTCGGAAATTAGGCTGAAGTGTTTGGCGGGCAGCAAGTTGTAAGCAAGTTGTGCTCCGTGGTTGCTTAGCAAAGCATGCTGTGGTTGTATTGGCCCATAGGGGCCCCTATATCCCTTGAAACCATACCATTCATCCAAAGCCACCTAAAGAGTGATTTTGGTAAACCCTGCTTGAAGCCAACCCAAGCAGGCAGCAGGTCGCAAGCCAATCGCCGGCGCTTCCGATTCTGTCCGTCCTTCTGCGCATCTGAGACGCCGAAGCCGGACACTGGGACCGAGATTCCCGACAACATTGGCAAGGCAGAGGGCGAAGGTTCAGGGAAACCAACTAGCAGGGATACAGGGGGAACCAGGGATACGGGAGGATTCCCCCTAAATACACCTTGACTAAGTTTGGTATGGGAAATGGCGCCAAGGGAATCCCCCCATATCCCCGCTTCCTCCGTATCCCCGCTTGTTTGTTTGTCCAAAACGGTAGGGCTGATCATTAGGGCTCCCCTGCCTACCAGAATCGCTCTCAGAGTCCTAAAGCCCCCCGCGAAGAACTAAGAACCTTTTCTGGGATGCCGTGGGGCGTTTGGCTGCTTCCCTGAAAGGGAACTTGGATGTTCAACCTTGTGAAGAAGCTTACACCCATGGTAGTGAGTTGAGCAACTGGGCGACATAGAACCGAGGTTACAACCCGAGGTTGTCCCTTGTTCGGGCGCTGGTGACGTTTTGTAAATGGGGTTCGCCTTGTCACGCCCCTTGTAGACACCTTTTTGGAGAATGTGGGAGCCTTTGTCTTGTTTGCAACCCGTCAAAACAAAAATGAAGCAAAAGGGGTGTCCCTCAATCCTGGGGGTCGTTGTCAACCATGGTTGCGAAAACATGCCTTCCAGGAAGTCCCAGTTTCTATATGCTATGGGCGGTGTCTTGAAGAACCGGGCGGGAATTGAGGCAATCACCTTGACTTGATGTCGGGTACCGTGGATGGAAACAAATCCTGCAACACCAGTGGGGATGGATGAACCCCCCTGAAAATTTCTGGGAGAAACCAACTACCACGTGGTAGAAGGCGAATGTTGTTCATGCGCTGCCATGGCCATTTCTTCTGATTCAAGTCCACAATTGAAATGGCCTTGTCTCCCTTCCCGTGTGGATTGGCCAAGCACTGTCTTAGTCTTAGCTCAATGAGGGATTGCGATATCACAGAAAGCCACCTACACAAAAACTGGGCATTGAATCCCGAGGAATCTCACCAGGATCGGAGCCTTTCTGTGAAATCCAATCAAATAAACTAGGTTGTTCTAGTAGTGCCCTTTGATCGTTTCTTTTTTTTGGGGAGGGTTCCCCTACTAAAATAGACTACAGAAAAAAAAGTCGGGTACCCTTATTCTATCCTCTCTACTGGAGGACCTAGTAAAAGCAGCAGGCTTGAGGAGTTTCCTTTGGGGCAGGCTGCCTCCCTATCCAATGCCAACCTCGTGGATGCCTTTGACACCACAGTGTGGCCGGACACATTCTGGCCATCTGCATGTTCAGGGTTCCAAAGGCAGCGAGATTTCAACAAAAAAAGCCGGGACCACGTTTTTTAGCGGGACCACGCTTTGAGCCAATTGAGAAAAACACAACTAACTCCCGGCATAGTAGAGACAAGTGAGAGAGCCCTGAATTGGTTTCAAGCCCTCTGCACCGTTGTTGGATCGTGTTTTGTAGTTTGTTTTTGGCTGTGTGTTGCTTCTGTTTTGTCTCTTTTTTTTGCCGGGGCTGCAACAAGAAGCAGTCTTTGTTTTTTGTTCAAGCCCATCCCACAGGTAAGGCCCTGACTTCGTTTCAAGCCCAAAACCAAACCAACGAAGCCCTCGGGCCATGGATCGGCCCTGACTTCGTTTAAAGCCCAACGCCGCGTCAACGAAGTTGGGCCCATGGATCGAGGCAGAGGTGGTGGCAGGAAAGGCGAGGCCCAGTACCGGAGAGCCGCCTCTCGGCGTTCAAGTTTGCCAGCGGATGTATCGCCTGGCAGGTCTTGGCTCAATCCAGTCGGTTTCTCAAGTGGTTTGATCTGTTTGGTTTGTTTATTGGTTGGTTTCTTAAGTGATTTGATCCTTTCGGTTGAGTTAGTGGTTGATTTATTAAGTGGTGGGTTCCTTTTCCGGTTTGATCGTTTTAGTTGGTTTAGTGTTGGTTTCTGAAGTGCCTTTGATCTTTTTAGTTGGTTTAGTGGGTGGTTTCTTAAGTCGTTTGATCTTTTTATTTGGTTTAGTGGTTGGTTTCTTAAGTCGTTTGATATGTTTAATTGGCTGAGTGGTTGGCTTCTTAAGTCGTTTGATCTTTTTAGTTGGCTCAGTGGTTGGTTTTTTAAGTCGTTTTTTTTTGGGGGGTCGGTTTATTGGTCGGCTTCTTAAGTGGTTTGTTATTTCTAGTTGGTTTAGTGGTTGGTTTCTTAAGTCGTTTGATATTTTTAGTTGGCTTAGTGGTTGGGTTCTTAAGTCGTTTGATCTTTTTATTTGGTTTAGTGGTTGGTTTCTTAAGTCGTTTGATATTTTTAGTTGGCTGAGTGGTTGGTTTCTTAAGTCGTTTGATCTTTTTAGTTGGCTCAGTGGTTGGTTTTTTCAGTCGTTTGATCTTGTTTGTCGGTTTATTGGTCGGCTTCTTAAGTGGTTTGTTCTTTCTAGTTGGTTTAGTGGTTGGTTTCTTAAGTCGTTTGATCTTTTTAGTTGGTTTAGTGGTTGGATTCTTAAGTCGTTTGATCTTTTTATTTGGTTTAGTGGTTGGTTTCTTAAGTCGTTTGATATTTTTAGTTGGCTTAGTGGTTGGTTTCTTAAGTCGTTTGATCTTTTTAGTTGGTTTAGTGGTTGGGTTCTTAAGTCGTTTGATCTTGTTAGTTGGTTTAGTGGTTGGTTTCTTAAGTAGTTTGATAATTTTTAGTTGGCTTAGTGGTTGGTTTCTTGAGTGGTTTGATCTTTTTCACTGGTTTAGTGGTTGGTTTCTTAAGTCGTTTGATATTTTTAGTTGGCTCAGTGGTTGGTTTTTTAAGTTGTTTGATCTTTTTTGTCGCTTTATTGGTCGGCTTCTTAAGTGGTTTGTTCTTTCTAGTTGGTTTAGTGGTTGGTTTCTTAAGTGGTTTGTTCTTTCTAGTTGGTTTGGTGGTTGGTTTCTTAGGTGGTTTGATCTTTTTCGTTCGTTTGGTGGTTGGTTTCTTAAGTGGTTTGATCTTTTTCGTTGGTTTAGTGGTTGGCTTCTTGTGTTGTCAGAACTGTTTAGTTAATTTAGTGACTGTTTGGTTTGATTGGTCTTTAGATATGTTTAGTTGATGAAAGGTGGTTGGCGTTTCCGAATTTAGCCCCCAGATTCCCCCCTCCCAAAAAAACACAGGTTGGTTGGGGCGACAAATCTTCGCCCCTCAAACATGGTGGGTGGAAGTTGTTGGTTTGTTTGTTATATCATCTCACTTCACAAGTTGAGGGACTTTAGTCGCTTCCTGGAAGCTCTTTTTTGCTAGTAAAGAAGTTGAATCTGTGCATATATTCCACCCAGGAAGTGAGAGAATTGGGGGCTTGTCCCCCAGAGATTTCTTTGGGTCCCCTCGTTGCAGCTTGGATCCCTCCATGGGTCCATGTCGAGCTGGTTTTAGACTTGGGGTCCCTGAAAGGGTTCCGAACCTCAGCGGATCCCAGTTACCCTTGCAGGCGTCCAGCCATTTTGTTTTTTTTGGCTTGCCAAGAAGTTCTCTTGGTTACCGGATGGTACCGATATAAACGGATCCGCTGGGAACCGGATGGAATGCGCATGATCGGCAAATTGCAACCAGCTCGTCTAAAGAGCTGGCCGTGTCCAGAGGTCTCTTCACCCTTTCCCCCCCGGCCTGAGCGGTTTGCCAAGCGCAGCTCCGCGAGTCTGCGAGGGTTTGCGTTTTTTTTGTTTTCGCCACTTGGCTGGGGGTGAAAACCAAGGCTAGCATTTGGCACCACCCATTCTAGTCTATTTTAGTCGGGATTGGGATGTTCACTGGGGGTACGGGATTTTGACCCATGGCCGCTTGTGATAAGACGAAACCTGGATGGCCCGCTTTGGTATTTCTTTCCCGGACAAAAAGCCACGAATGCGCCAAAGAACTCAGATGGCAACATGGGATCGATTCTAAAGGGAAGCCAGGTCTAATGCTTCGATGGCTTTCTTGAGGAATTCAACCACCGGTTTAAGCATGCGACATCGACCACATCGTTTGAATGTAACATCCCAAGGGTACCAGAGTGTGGTGGTTTGAAATCAATTTTGCCCCCTTGGAAGATTGGTTTCGGCCCTCCGAGTGATGGCTGGATCACGGGCATGCGTCAAGGTCACCGAGTGGGGTGTAGGCTGAGCTTCCCCATGACGATCCTTTTGCTGCAGCCACTTCAGTAGTTGGTCCCACCGGCTGGCTTCATGAGGTTTATAGTAAGGCCTCTCTAAACCTTATGCCCCACCATGTTGGTTACACTCCCGACTAACGTGGAAGCTCCCCCAATTGGCCTCTGTAAATGGAACCAAGTCTTCCAAAGGGGTCCCTTTGCAGCTTCCATGGAGTCGTTTGGGAGAGGGTAAACCCAACGTCTATGGGTGAAACCGGGCGCCGACTCACCTGGTTGCAGCTTGGCATGAGACCCCCATCTGGCCGTAAGTCCTTCCCGTTCTCCTCTGTTGCCCAGTGGGTTGCTTCCTTTTTTCAACTTTTTTGGGGTAGGGTTCCAATTCCTTTAAACTCAACCAACAAAAAAGGGTGCCCTTTTTTCCCATGGAAATCCATGGGGCAGCTGAGTCTCTATCACCCTCCAAGTTTGCTTTTTGGGTGCAACCATCAAGTCCGCCTAGACCCAAGGTCGCTGGTTGCAACTTGGCTTTGGTCCCAAGGAATTTCAGGTCCCTTGCTGGTTTTCAATACCCTTTTGCCTGGCAAGTCCGCAAACTTTGGGTCGACTCCCACGCCTCCGCTGAGGACATGGCGAGCAGAGATTATGATGCCACAAGGCGCGCCTCGCTTCGTGAGAGGTGCGCTAAGATTTTCGGCACTTGTTGGATCTGAAGTGGGTTTGCAAGCCGTTTCTCCGCTTGGGGGGGTTCCCAATCGAAATCAAGTGATATGGTGTGGCTCAAAATTAAAGAGCAGGTTTTAGTCTACCAAGGTTCCATTTTGGTGAAGTGTTTTGAGCCACAGCCGTGCGAGGGGCTGGCCAACTACACACATTCTTCTCCCATCATGAGCCAAGTTTTGGTTTGCCCTTCCTTCCACTAACATGGCGCCTGTGGGGAGGCACCTGGAAGATCATCTTTTTTCCTGTCAGGTGCCAGGGAGGGCGATTCCCCACAATGGTTCTATTTCGGCCCTCGCCACACAGATCCTGGCAGCTCAACCGGTCAAACGGTAAATAGAATTGCCCACTTGCCGCGGGTTAGAGATGGACCCGCGGGACCCGCGCGGCTGAAACTCAAACACCTGTGAAGGTTCAGATCTGACTTGGGGACTGCCCATGTCAGATGCGCGAAGTATGAGATCATATGTTCAGATCCGTGGATGGCATACTGACAAGGCCCTTATAAAATGGGTTGTCCATCGAATCTGCGCCAGCGCATCCTTTGTTTTGTTTGTTCCAGAATTCGTCGCAGCTAAATAAGATATGTTCGGACTTTGGATGATCCTTGTTTGTTGTGTGTGTGTGTGTGGTTGTTTGTAGGTTTTGGCACTGTGCATTTGGGTTGGCGTTAATTCACTGTTCCAGTTTGCATCCTAATTATTTGTAGATTGTAGATGTTGACGAGGCGTTTCAGCTTGCGTCAAAGTCACACGACTTTGCGGGTGCAAAGTCACGGCTGGGAAAGAGGCAATAAGGTTTGGTTTTCTCTTTTCTCTCTGCGACACCCTTGGGTAGCCTCCTTTTGCAATGGATAATTCAGTGACAATTTGAGTGCCCATTTCGATTGGCTCTCGGACCCGGTTCTCATTGAGAAGGAGTGGGGACCGGAGAAGGAGTGGCAATTGCCAGATATATCTTAACTGTCCACCTTTCCTTTTGGGGAGGGGGTGTTTTGATGCTTCCTTTCAACCAGCAAAAAAGCGAACGTTGACAGACTTTACTCTTTTTTAGCTTCCTTCAAGGGGTCCGTCATTTTCCATTTTCACCATCCAACAGTTCCCGTACCCCGGGGTTTGTAAGTCCAGGGAAGCGGTGATCCAGCTAAAGTCAAAGCCTCTGACTCGCGAAAACGTTGGAAGAACCTCCGAGTCTGCTTGCGGCCTCCTGGCGCCATCTCAACTCGTGTTTCCGGCGACCCGAATCAAACGAGTTGCAGCCAAGTCTCCGATCGCTTGCGCCACAGGAGGACGTGCCATCCTAGAAACCATTTGATGGAATCCATTTAAGGGTCACCAAGGTTTGAATCTCACTCGCCGGGCGTTTGACTGTTTGCGCGCAGTCACGGGAATTCCGGGAGTCAAGTTGGAAGCGAGGGCCTCACGATGAATTTGCCTTTTCCTTGGCCTCACTCCCTGAGTTTCTGGACTTTAACAACTTTTTAGACAAAAACAATTAAACAACAAGTTGCTGGAACACTTTTGGACGACTATTTGGAAGCTGAACCCCAAATCCGACTTTTTCTGGCCAATCTACTCGCGAAGTGAGTGGTCTGTTGAATGAGGTGATTTGGCTCCCAACTACAAGTGTGGCCCGTTGAGGGTATTTGGACCATCACAATGCGGGCAAAGCTTGGCCCAAGAATATGGGGTGAGTCCTTTGAGGTTCCGGGTACCTTTGGGGTGGCTGAAAAGGGAAACGAAGGGGAACTTCGCGCAGATGTATTTTTGGCTGTTCGTTTTTGTTGTTTCTTTTCATGGTTGGGGACGACGACTCTATATTTTTTGGAGGAGGGTCCAACAGTCTGAGACAAGTGACAAGCCAATAATTTTGAGGGATTTTCCCCTCAAAGTAAGTATTTGTTGACATGTCCAAGGCCCTGTTCGGTGCTATCACAGTGAAAAAGGCACTTCCCACAACCCATGTACTTCCATTTGGTTAAGATTCAAGGTTATTTTATATTTTCCCCTGTTGGTTTTAAAGGGAATCTATCAAAACTGGAAGAACACATTTTTTCCAGGGGCCTTGAGCAAATAGAAGTGTAACACGCTTGCTTTACAAATGGATTAGCCCAGGCCTGGGCCATCCCGTGATGTCATCCCAGCAAAAGGGGCGGGCTGCTCCCATTTTTTTTATTGGTCCTGATCGATCCGGCTTAGAATGGCAAACTGGGGATCCAAATTTGCATTTCTAGGATAGTCCACATGGGTGGCCTCTTTTTGAACCTGATGATTGTCCTTTCATGTACAAATCCAACACAAAACTTCAAAACGGGTATCCTCATAGAGAAAACGCTCATACACACAAACATGAATCAGAATCTGAAGATCTCGTTTTCGGGTCGTCTAGGGCTAACTGAAAGAACTGCAGCTGCGAGGCCTCGATTCTCTAGGTGTCCCATTTGTAGCTTTGTTTGCTTAACGAAATAGACGGGTTCCACTGGTTTAGATTGGCGTTGTGCCATTGTACCATTGTAATTATCACAGCAACCCATGGATTGTTTTTCCAAATGGTCACCAAAGGTCACCAATGCTGTTGTTGTTGTTCTTGTTTTGTTTTTTTTTTCTCTCTCTCTCTCTCTCGATTTTTGCCTTTGCCAGTGGGGCTTACGGAGAAGAGCGGGGGCTACAACTATGGCGGCAAGGCGGGAGCTATCGAGGTTGATTTGGGGTTTCACCTGAGCCACTGTGGATGGTTGCGAAATCCGTTTCGCACCACTTTGAAACCACGGTTGAAACCATTGGTTGTTGGTATTTACAGGGGAATCCTCATTCCAGGGTTTCTCAGGTGGTGCGAAATGGATTTCGGCCATCCACAGCAATATCACACCTGGGTAGATGAGGGTTAGTTGGATAGTGCCAACCAGGAAGGAGCTTGGAGATCTGCCCGTGTGTTATTTTGTTCATGATCTTCAGACGCCTCTCAGAACAGGATTTGAGTATGACTCTTCACAACTTCATGGATTTCCTGGCAGAGTTTGGAGGCTTTTGCTATGAGGCTGATGGACCTGGCTGGGCTGGGCATGAACATCACATCTGAAACAGAATGTTCCTCTCTAAGAGTACGAGACAGGAAAGTGATCCAAAGCCACATGAGCTCTCACCGAAATCTTGGTGGGGTCCTTGTGTTGTACAGTTTGAAAGAAGAATTTAAATTACATTAATGGAGCACGCTCTTGTAGCAAGCCCACTAGAATAGCATTCTTTGCCCCCTCATTTATATCCACCCCTTCCCGAGCGCAGAAAGCGGAGCAAGTGCTAGACATGTCTCGAGCCTCGAGGGAAGTAGATGGTTTTGTCTTGTGTTTTCGAGACGATTTTCCAGGGCTCCTTAAAATATACATTTTGCAACCATTTGAATCATGTTGCTTTTTCAACACCAAAATAAAGGGAAACCACCATTTGCAAGTTGCAATGTTCAGGTGTATAATGTAAGGATCCCTGTTTTCCTTTTGGGGAACCCCCCTGTCCACTTCCACGATTGTTGGAGAGAGGTTTATCCCGTGCCGACTTGGCTGGCTGTTCGAAGCGGGGGCTTGCATGACTTTCTTCGGGGTTTCCTAAGGAAGGTTCTTGCGCATTGCCAAACTGAGTAGCACTTTGGCCATTCGTTGGCCAAAGGAGTCCGGTTCCTTTCCAAGTTTGGGTCCGAGGGCCCTCCTGCACCGCCATATAAAGGGTTCTTTGTGTGACCCGGGTTCAACCTGCCCCTAAAAGAAAGGCAAAATGGAACCCAATTTGCATGCGAGAACTCCTGACCCTTGAAAAATCCCAAAATGGGCGCCAAGAGCACCCTAGGGTTCAACCGGTTGCAAAACTTGAATGAGGACACTCCTGAACGGTAAATCGTGGTGATATGTTCACCCCGTTTGTCTTAATGTTCGGGAGAAAGGCAAAAAATGATATGGAACTGAACCTCCCCTTTGTTTTAATGGCAACTGAATCCCAGGAAAGGCCCAACTCTCTCTTTCAGGTGCGAACGATGTGCATCCGGGGGCCCCACCGAGTGGACAAGCAGCAGGCGGGGTTCCAGATCCGATTTCATTCCAGGGCCAAGTCCTCCGACGACTGGAGTTTGTCTCAAAACGAGGGGGTCCAATATGTTTTTCCCATGTGGTTTAATCTTTCGACTTTTTTGGGGGGTCCAAGAAATGGCATTGTGGCTGTTTGTTTTACTCATTGGACTTTTTTGGTTGAAAGAGGTCGGATTTTCCATATTGGACCCACACAAAGTTGAACTTTTGCAGAGGGGAAACTAAGATGGATGGATTCCTTTGGTTTCCCTATAATAACACCATCCAAACGAGAGTCTCCCAAAAAGCCGCAAACCCTTTTGCCCATCCGCTTGCTCTCCATTCTTTGTATTGCTGCAGGGCTTGGTGTTGCTCGTTTTATCCGGTTCCCCATCTTTTGATGGTTTGGATAGGTGTTTTGGGAATGTAAACCCCGGGTTTAGAGGGATTTGGTCATGGGTCAAAATCCAAATCGTACCCCCGGTGAACATCCCAATCCCCACTAAAATAGAGTAAAATGGGTGGTGAATTCCACTAAAATAGGAAGCCTAAAATGGGAGGTGAATTCACCTACCCCAAAATTGTATCCCAAAACGGTTTCGAGCCATGGCCACCAGGCTCCAGGGGTCCGTTTTTTTGGGCCAACTCAGCGGGTGGATACGGATTATTGTTTGTTGGGTTGGGTGGCCTCAAAGGAAGTAATCAGCGCACGCATGCAGTGGATGATTGCGAAATCCCATTTCGCACCACCCAAGAGACCCTGGAGTGATGATTCTCCTGTAAATACCGGCAAACAATGGCTTCCCATGGTTTCAAAGTGGGGCAGGATTTCGTCCATCAAAAGAAGGTGTCCTTTTTGGATTAGTTTGGATAGACATGGATGGGTTCCACTAGTTTAGAATAGTTTTAGGCCATCCACTTACCAGGGACACTCACATTTTTTTTGTTTAAGAAGTTCACCTATGATTCAAAGCTGATTCCTTTTTCCTTGGTTGCTAGAGGGGGGTTCTTCCTGGCTTGACGGGGATCATAGCAAGATGATGTGGTTTGCTTAGAGATACCCTTAAGCATCAGTTCCATGGCCAATTGAAGATACTATTTGATGCATGCTATCTGATGCAAAACAATACTAAACAGATAGAACCAAAGAGGACCGAGATGCACCGTTGTCCCCAAGACATGAACAAGGCTTCTTACGTGCAGCATGTTTTTGGCTTTTTCCCTTCCTCCAACTTTTTAGCGTTTGGTACATGCTGGCATGCCCAGCTTACACGGCAAGTTTCTGCTTGACGTCGGCACAGAGAAAGCCAAGTGTCTACTAGTTGGTGGTTTGGAGCCGAATTGGTGGTTTGGGATTCGAAGGTTTTGGCTTTTGGCAGAGGGTCCATGGGGTGGACCCCCCTCCATTGCACCACTCCCCCGATTCTCGGCTCCGATTCCCGTGGATTCGTTGCTCGAAGGGAAGCGCTCGCAACGTCTCAGGCTGAGGAAGATGCAGAGAAGCTGGAGGAAGGGGCTCGCAACGGTGACACTCGCTCGGTGAAGGCGCGCGCCTTCGGGCTCGGGGAGCCGAAGAAGCCGTGGAACTCGGGTGAGACGTGCATTTATAGGGGGGGGTGATTGAATGAGGAGGGTTGTTGTTTGGGGGGGGGTTGCTTGGGGTGGGAGGTGGTTGTTTGGGGTGGGAGGTGGTTGTTGTTGTTTTTTGGGGGGGTTGTTGTTTGGGGGTGGTTGTTGATTGAATGTGGGGGGGTTGTTGCTTGGAAGGGGAGTGGGACCCGCGCATCCTTGCCCTTAGTGGAAGCATCCAATAAATCAACCAGATGAAGCTGTCAGCTTTACGTGAAGGCGAGTGGATTGGGATCCTGTAGGTTCCAGCCTAGTTCAACCCTTAGTTCAGGGGATTCCGGCCAAATCCAACTTTTTGTTTGGTAGCTTCCCGGCTTCAAAGTCTGACAAGCCACATAGGGTTTCCGATTCCTTTCCCACAGTCGCCAAACAGGGGTACTGCGAGTCTTCTCAAAGTGCCTTTGTGGTTGATGTTTTCAGCTCCCCTTCGCTTCCTCGACAGTTCCATGTAAACCGAACCACCCCTGCAGATCTGTCTCTTTTCGGAGCATCGAAAGCCTCCAGTGGATCCTTTTTCAACCAAAGAGAAGGGGCCGCCAATTCTTCCTTGGCACTGCCAAGAATGTCTACTCTCGGATCGTATTGCTCAAAAACCAAAAACAGTTTGCTCAGTGGTTTGCATCTGGGAAATGTGTGGACACCGGAAAATGGCAACCCAGGTGTCCGAAGTTGCAAACCCGCAGACCTTGGGTCTGCGAGTCTTTTTTTGAGGGTCCTCCCCTGTTGTGTGATTTAAAGCCAAAAAGAAAGCCAAAAGGAAAACCGCTGCGCCATTTTGGGGGGTCCGATTCCTAGAAAACGACATACCCACCATGGTTTTGGGGTCCACTCGTGAAGCGGAGTCTTCGACTCTCACTTGCCTTGCGCAACATCTGGGTACTTCCCAGCCCTCCGGTTCCTTCGATGTTTTCAGCTTTTTGCATGGCTTAGTGCTTCCCAGCCATCCGGTTCCTCAGTGCTTCAGCTTTTTAGTTAGTTTTATGGTCACTTCACTATCCTTAGTTTTATGGTCCTTAGTTAGTTTTTTTTAGTTTTGCAGCTTTTAGATTGTTGTTTCCACTTCACCCACAGGCTCTTCACTCTGAGCAGGGCCGAAAAAAACGGAAAAAGCCCAGAACTGTCCGCGGATTCTCGGGATCCGCGCGGATGCATCAGGCCATCGCCAACGACATGGTGCGCCACGGCCGACCGTGAGAGCGAAACTCGCACGATCGGATCGCGTGAAGGGCCCTGAGGCATGGCAAGCCTTGGGCGACAGCGAGAAAAAGGGGGTTGCACCATAATATATATATATATATATATACACATGTATATATATATATATGTTATGTACATGTATACATGCACATATGTATACATATATATATATATATGTATATACATATGTATAGATGATATATATATATATAGATACATACATACATATATATAGTATACATGGTGTGTATATATATATATAGAGATATATATTTATGTAAACATGTATAACGATGCCTTATCAACAGAAACTAGCTTTTGGCAAGGGCGCGGTGTTTGCATCATGCTCAATTTTACGCAGGTGTTGCAAAGTGTGTTTTTGTTTTTGCAAATTGGGACCGGGAAATGGGGGGAGCACTGCGCATCAAACTCAATGTGGCCTTTTGACCTTTTTAAGGCCTCTTGTCAGAGGCCTATATTTTCAAGGCCTTTGGAATCTGGGGGTATATGTAGATAGGTATATAATTGTTATATGTATAGGTTTTTGAGGGGAGGCAACCTTTAATTTGTCAGTCATTAATAACTGTCCTCAGTCGCAGCATTGTTCAACACCGTTTCCGGGTTTGGTGCGCGACCGAGTTGTTTGCTTATGGAGATTTCTTAAGGATTCCGAATGTTTTATGCTGGTGAATTGTAGCAGTTCGCCCAGATTTGATAGAGGTAAAGCAAGCTCGGCCACCCCGTGTCAAAAGGATAACAGGTTACATCATTTGAGCCACAATCAAAACCCGGGCAGATGAAGGTTAGTAAGGGGCAGTCCCAGCCAGAAATAGTCGCGGCCGCCTTGTTAATTCTTGAAGCATGGTTCTGGGAATCGACCATTTTACTACCGGGTTTTAATTATGGAAATGCCAAAAGCGCGTGGATGCAAAAACCCAGGGCCCAGGACGTATCCTTCTGTTTAAATATACACGTTTGGGTGGGTCTTTGGAAGACACTCAGGGCAGGGCACCCTAAAGGGGGTTCTAAAGGGACACAAGTTTGAAGCCACGAAGGCTTGCTCCAGGAGAGGAATGGCCAGAAGGGCCAGGTGAAACAAATCTGCACCCGGCCACACGGGAGGGAGCGGGCTCAACGATTTCCATGGAGTTGCTCGAGTGTTACGGTGACGAATCCCCCGAGAGTTTGCAGAAACCCCAACCCCCCCACCCCTCAACTGGGGTAGATATGGGTGTGCCCTTTGGGTTGGTTTTTTGAAGGCAAACGGAAGGACAACCACACTTTCTTTAATTGATTTTTTGGGGGAGGTTCCCGCAAAGCAAGGCAACCGCATATAGCTTTTCTGCGGTTTCCCTTCAAAAACAATGTGTTATGTAAACCAAGCGGTTTAGCTTCCCTTTGCGGTAAATTAGTTTTACCTTGTGCAGGGTTTTGGGAGCATCTTGGCCAAGCGACACTTTTGGACTGAGGAGGCACAGCCCAGAAGAAACGCTCTTTTGGGCGTGAAGTGCACGGCACTTGCAAATGTTTGTATATGTGTTGGCAGGTTGATTGGAGCGCTTACAACACATCCCACCCCTGTCTTCAGTGAGCAAGCCAATGCTTGCTCGCAATGTGTTACATCTTCATTGCGGAGGGGCCACTTAGGAAGTCCCGTGCGGGCTGGCAAAAGGTTGTTCCCATCCATCCACTCAAACAGGGCGGGTGTAGATCGCAGTGCTCCCAATTAGAAGCCCCGGAGATCGGCGTAGATCGGAGATCGGAGATCGGCGACGGGTGAAAAGGCTGCGAGTTCCGGTCGTGGGCAGCTGGATGTTCAGGTCACCCTGAGCCATCGAAAGGACAACAGAAAAATAGGCGGTTCCCCTCGGGATCTCCAACACCATTTTTTTTCTTGGCCGGTGCGATACATGGAGTCTGACCCTTAACCATCCAACTGCTGGTTCCCTTCGCGGGGATTTGAGTTGCCGGAAGGTTCACTCCATTTCTCGTTCCCTGCTCGCACCAGCAAGAAAACCTGTTTCCCTGAAAAAAAAACTGGACTGATGAGGGTTCCCCTGAAAATACCAACAAGCACTGGTTTCAAACAGATCTGGACAGACTAAAATAAGCAGAATCTGGACGTGAGGTTGAACCCCAAGGCCAAGGTGGCGGCTTCGAGGGCGTTTGGAGTCTGGACGCCCAGCCTTCAATTGGAATTTTAGTTTTAAAGCACTGCTTTCACCGCCCGTTCGCGGGGGTGGCCTTTTTGGGAACCCCTTGGGTCGTCATCGGATCCGGATGCATTTTTCAAGGCCTGCCGAGTTAGATCTACAGCTTGGATCCAGGCATTCCATCTTGGGAACCAACAACTAAACAGATGGCGAGGGGTTTGGTTTATTCAGTGTCTTGCCTGGAATCCATGTTTTTGTTTTTTTTTTGTGTGTTTTTGTTTTGTTTTTGGGAGGGTGTCCCTTTGAAGTCCACCAACCAATAGCATATCCTTTTCGAGTTGGGCTGGTCTGGCATGATCCCGCCGCAAATCGGGGTTCTTTCTTTCAAGAACCATTGAGTCATGATGATAGATTAAAAAAAAAAAAAAAAAAAAAAAAACGGCACCCCACAACCACTGTTTTTTTTCAACCACGTCACCTGACAACAACTGCTTTTTCAACCACGTCCAAGATCCCAAGTACGGAAACCAAAAAGCAGTGGTTGAGACCCCTGTGCTGGAACCTGTGTACTGATCCCTTCGAATGATTTGCTCTGAACCCCTTCCACTCTTGGCACCGAGGCGCGGCGAAAGCTTTGCCGCCGCAGGCATGGATCCGGGGCCATTTCGGGTGGTCCATGTGGGAGGGGAGATTGGCGGACATGGCCGGACTCTCTCTCCTTCCATTTTTGTTCCCTTCCTGTCTTAAAGGGAAACTGTCACTACTGGAAATGTTTTGACTTTTTCCAGTGGACTTAAGCAAATGGAAGTGGCTGGGCTTCCCACAACCAAGCGACACTCCCACAATCGAATGCGATCATATTTTCCGGGCCACATGTCATGACACGTATATTTGAAAGCGCAGTTGTCCTTTGTAACCCTTTTCAACACACTCCGCTTCCGAAGCAGATTGGTCGAAACTGCGTTTGGCGGGTGGTTTGAAGAGGAAACCAAAAGGGCATGCGTCAAACGCTTCACAGTTCACAATCTTTGCAACGGCCTCATCGATGAGGTGACATGTACCCCGATATAATTTTCGATTTGCGGTACGACCTGCACAGGGTACAAGCCTGCAAGGCATGGCAATCAGGAAAACAGACCATCCCAAAACCCAAAAGGGAAGGCACATCCAAGAGCTCAACGCGACAAAAGCCTGCCACACAAGGATAAAATCTGGCCATCAAGGAAACGTCCCCCCTGCGCCGCAAGCCTACTCAAGAATCTTCAAGTGCGGTCTTTGATTCGTCAAGCGGATCGGATTATTCACGAGAGCACTCCCTGAGGAAAGATTCAACTGCGAGCTTCCAGTACTTCTGAGTCTCCTGAAGAAAGCTTTCCAAATGCTGCACCGTCTCGGCCGGCAAGCGGATGTCAGGCCTAAACAGGAACCAGCCGTTTAGCTAAAAAGTATGACTCCCATCATGCTCGGCAGTTGATACATGATGGTCCAAAGCAAAGTGGCCCGAGTTGCAATGGATCTGCGTCATGTCGCGAGCAGCCAAAAGCTCAGGCAAAAACTACCCCAGACAAGAGGATAAACCTGTTGCTCTTCAGCAGGCCACTGCAGTGTTTGCATCCAGCCGTCCTGCCGCGCTGCCTTTACTGCTGCTATTGCAAGCCTGCGCTGCCCTATCTGCTAAAGGGGGTGCAACACTTGCCTGAGGCGCTGTACAATTGTGCTTGTTCCGGCTGCTGCTCTATTTTCTGATGCAGGGAGGAGGTTTCCTCAACCCCCTGCGTCGCATGCATTTGCCTCAATTGAAACAAGGCGTCAACACAGGAGATGTCCAGCTCAGCCTACAATTGGCTGACGACAGCATGTTCTTTTCAGTGATTTCATGGTCACCACACAGACTAACACATTTCGGATTGGTTTTCACATGTCAAGGACGCATTAGCACTGATATCAGAACGATTGTGACCCAGCATGTGCCATGCATCTTGGTTTTTGCATCACCGTCCTGATGCACTGATTAGCTTTAGAGCAGCCTGGAGGACCGCAGGCTCAGATTGCAGTGGGCATCATACGAATCATCGCGAACTGAGAAGCACTAAAAGCAATCTTCACGGTTGTTAGCACCTTTTGAGGTTGTCAGCTTTTTGTTTCTGTTCATGTTTGGTCGGAGACTGCAGAAGAAAAAATACCATGCCAAGGGTTGTAAAGGAACACATGGCTTGCGTTGGTCCGCGTCTGCGGCAAGGAAAGCTGCAGCGAGGACAGCTACAAAAAGATTCCCCCAAAGCAAGTGCTCCAACTCGTTTTGGCTCACCTCCAACAGGGCGGGGTCTCTTGAAAGGCGTTGTCGTGTTGTTTTTTGGTGGTTGTGTGATGCCAAGAAAGTCCCCTTGAAAGTGAAAAGGTTGTCATACGCATCACGGCATAGAGCACTGGGGCATTACCCACGCCCATGCTCCAAAAAGGAAGGCCGCAGGCTTGATCAGAATCCCCCCTCTGAAACCAGGTCACCCACCAAAAGCTCTCAAAATAAGTCACCCGAAGCAAACAAACAAGCAAGAACTCTCAAACACGTCACCCAAAGCAACCAAACAAGCAAACAAACAAACAAACAAACATGAACTCTCAAGGTTGATTCCCATTGTCTTCACCTTTGCTTCGAGGATTCGTGTGGCACCGCCAGGGCGCCAAGCTTTCGGGAGTTCCTGTGAGCCGAAGGAGAAAGAAGAAAACACGACTCGCCGCGCGGTGGCGGCCTGGGCTCACGAGCCGTGAGTTTCCGCTTTGAGGGCGGTTTTAGACATCGCATACATCGCCAATTATCAAAATGTAATTTAATGACATTTTGAGATTCTGGCAATCATACTTACCCTCCCTCCCACCAACGTAGCAGTGGTGGGTACCGAGGGTAGTGGGTGGCCAATTTAAAAGGAG